CTTGGAGAGGGACATCATGCTTGGGAGGGAGGAGGGGCAGCACAAGAGGGGAAGACCCACTTGGATTGGAGGTGGATTGATTCAGTGACTGGGGTAATTGGGATGAGTATGTCAGAGGCAGTGCTATTGGCACAGGATAGAGCAGTGTTCGGGGCTGTTGTACATAGGGTCGCTGAGTCGCAAGCGACTCGACAGCACATAACAACAACCACCACCACCACCTTATGCAAGAGAGTAAGGCAAAATAATAAACAGAACTAATAGAATATTGCAACTAATAAACAGAATAATAAAAGAGTAACTTCTCAATAACTGAATACTAACCTTTCTCTGTAATCTGTAGCTAAGAATTATTCCTTTTTGATATATAGAGTTTGCCAAGCTATTTCCAGGACATTGGCAAGACTGGCTCAGTCAGCCCAGGAGATAACCACCAGGCCTGAAGAGCTAGACAAAAGAAAAATAATGTGAAAACTTCTCAGATTCCGCTGTCTTGCCCTTCACCTGTTGCTGCTGTTGGGTGTCACAGAGTCATCTAGGACTCACAGCAATCCTATGAACAATGGATCAAACCTTACCCTGTCCTGCACCATCCTCAAGATTTCTGACTTGCTTGAACCCATTGTTACAGTCACTCTGCCAATCCATCTTGTTGAAGGTCTTCCTCCTTTCCCAATAAGATGACTTTTTCCAAGGACTGGCCCATCCTGACAACATGCCCAAAGTACCTGAGATAAAGTTTCACCATCCTTGTCTCTAAGAAGCACCTTGGTTGCACTTTCTCCAAGATAGATTTATTTATTCTTTTGGCAGTCCATGAGATATTTAGCACTCTTCTCCAACATCACAACTCAAAGATACTGATTTTTCCTGCGTTATCCTTATTTACGGTAGAACTTTCAGATGCATAGCAAGTAAACTAAGACAATTAACTGGATCAGGTGCACCATAGTCTTCAAATTGACATCATTCTTCCTTTACTAGAAGTCTCTGACAACATACATTCCCAAAAGCAACGCATATTTTCATTTCTTGACTCCTGTTATCAGGGTGTTGATCATGGATCCAATCAAGGTGAAATAACTTTTAACTTCAACCTTTTCTGCATCACAATAATGCCTATCCACCTAGGTGTGAGGATTTTTGTCTTCTTGATGTGGACATGTAATTCATATTTAAGGCTGTAGTCTTTGATCTCTGCAGCAAATGTTTCAAAAGTCTTCCTCTTCACTTTCAGCAAGCAAGGTTGTGTCATCTGTGTAACACAGATTGTTGATCTGTCTTCCTCAGATGCTGATCTACTGTTATTTGTCATCAAGTCACTTAAGACTCACAGCGACGCTCTGAACAGCTCTGAACCTTGCCCTGTCCTGAGCCGACTTCATCCTTTCCAACACAACTGACCCCATTGCCAAAGTCACTGTGTCAATCAATCTCATCCAGGATCTTTCTCTCCTGCACTGACCACTATCCTTCCAAGTTTGATGAACTTCTTCAAGGACTAGCCGCTCCTGACAGCCTGCCCAAAGTATGTGAGATGGCATTTCAAATGCCATGTCTCCAAGGAGCAATGTTATTTCACCCTCTCCAGAACAGACTCACATGTTCTCTTGCCAGTCCATGGCATACAAAAAAACAAACAAAGTTTTTTTCACACCAACCCCTATTTCCAAGATTGATTTTTCTAGACACAGGCAGCAAAACCATGCTTTTCAGGTAATATAATTGCCTTAAACTCTTCTATTCAATGGAAACCCCTAAGTCTCTGTAAATGTTCATTAAAATTAATTTTTAAAAGAAAAAACCCTTTTTTATTCATTAATATCTGGTAATTGCCAATCCTCCTGTGATAAGACGCTGTTCTCTATAGTTAAACTTCTTTAAAACCTGGTCTGACATGAAACCCGTTCAAATCAGTTCTTGGAGCATGTGCAGAAATATCACTCATGGGCAAGAGCAGATCTTCCCAAGCAAGAAGTAAAGCTGTTTCAGAGACAGAGGACTCAACTCTGAAGAACTGGCTCCACAGCATTTGTGCACCATCCCATAACAAGTGATACCTGTTCACCCAGAAGCCTTTTGTTTGTTCTTGCTGTTATGTACCTTCGAGTCCTAAACTCTGCTCTGTCCTGTGCCAATCACACTGTCTCTGACACTCCCACCCCGATTACCCCAGCCACTGAATCAATCCACCTCATAGAGGGCCTTCCTCTCCTGCGCTGTCCCTCCACCCTACCAAGAGTGATATCCCTCTCTAAGGACCAGTCCCTCCTTATAAAATGTCCAAAGTATGTTAGGCAGAGCCTCAGAATCCTTGCCTCCAGAGAGCCGCCCTGTTTAACCGTCTCCAGGATGAACCTGCTCATTTTCTTAGCAGTCCATTTTACCCTCAATACTCTTCTCCAGCATCACAGCTCAAAGGCATCAATTTTCCTTCTATCCTCCTTAGTCATTGTCCAACTCTCTGATGCATAATAAGTGATCGCAAAGACCATGGCCTGTATCAGACACACCTTAGTCTCCAAAGTGTCACCATTGCTCTTCACTATTTTGGAGAGGTCCCTAATGGAAGACTTTCCCATTGCAATATGTCTTTTGATTTCCTGGCTGCTGGTGCCAAGAGTGTTGACTGTGGAGCCAAGCAAACTAAAGCTGTGAACAATCTCAATCTCTTCACCATCCATCCTGATGCTGCCAATTGGCCCAGTGGTGAGAATCTTTGTCTTCTTGACATTGAGCCTCAATCCATATTGGAGGCTGCAGTCCTTTAGAACCGCATCTATCCTGGATATCCAGCTTCTCTCACACTTAATTATCATAAACCCCTCCTACACCATCCACCTTTCTGTTGGGTGTGAGAGACAGTCAGAGAATAAAAGTAAAACTGGATGTCAAGTAAATGTGGATGATTTTAATACCAAAACATTTAATTTGTCTTAAGTGCTGTAACTGAATTAACATGTTTGGGGGCATGCAAATATATTTTCTGATGTCATTTTCTATTCAGATATGAAAACACCCTAAAATAGCTTGGTGTTCTTTACTAGTCTAGCACAACCAAATATTGTTCATAAAAAGAAAATGTCTTAAATTATTTTAAGAAATCATGTGAAGGAGAAAAAAATCTAAAATAAGTTTCAGGTGGGTTTTCAACGGTACACAATTATTCAAAAAGATAATCTTTTCAAATTAGGGTAATTTTTTTTTCCCTTTAAATCAGTAAACATTTTGCCAAGTATTCTATTTGAGGTAGGCAGAGGGGAGCAGGGCACTTACCTTAAACCACTAAGAGAAAGAAAGGTGGCTTCCTGAGTGTGGTGGTGGAAAGAGCCCTCAGGGAGAAGGCAGAAGACCCTGTATTCAAATACTGGATTCCCCTCTGTCTAGTGTGGAATTGTGAGCCAGTGATTTCTCCTATTCCAGACCCAAGAGAATTGTCAAAGATGGCTACATTTTCTTGGAACTCTGGTGAATTAGTGGGTAAAGAGTTACCTCATCAATGCAAAGGCAAGTAATCCACCAACTACTCCTCAGGAGAAAGAGGAGTAATCTCAGCTCTGAGGCAGTTTCCACTCAACAATGAAAGTGAGGTTTTTTTAAAAAGACATCTTCCTTATCTAGCCCTTGAGCTGTGAAATCAAAGGGAGCCCTTACCTTTCTTTTCTGATATTAATTATCGGCACTCCAAGTCAAAGGACACTTCCTCCATGAAGCTTTGCTAGTCTTTAAGAGTCAGATGGAGTTTGTGCTCTAACCTCTGGATTTCAAGAGAAATGTCTCTAACATTGTCCTGTTTCTCTGTGCTGTTCTACTTCTTTTCATTTCTCCCAGAGCGAAGCCGTCATTTTAAAAAATGATGAGGCTCCCAAAGGGCCATAGTTCAAAATTTAAAAACAAACAAACAAAAAAGTCCATTGCCTTCCAGTAGGTACGGACTCTGAGTTTAAAGATGCTGACAGGCACATCTTTCTCTCACCAACTCCACTGACATTTTTGTTGCTGTTATCAGGTACGAATTTAACCCCTGCACCAATGAGAGTCTTCACAACTTGGAGTTCAAAAAATACTTGTTTAAAGAAGGGTGGCTAAATTACATGCTTCCTTATCCATGTTTGTACAGGTATCTTATAAGATTCTGCTAAGGAGTAAGCTTCTTTCCATTAATAGTCCGAGGCATAAAATAAATAAATAAACGCTTATGTATTATTTTGATGGCCTTTTCCTTTCAACATTTTCAACTTCGGGAATACTCTCAATTTAAAATATCTTCTCAAGAAAGAAAAGTCTGCCTTTTAACAAGTCTTGGGGAACAAAGTTGTCTATCTTCTATTGGTTCTATTCTTCAGTCAATAAAGGCCTGTTCTTCAGAATACCTTAAAATGTTCAACAGGTGTTTTTGCTAAGTGTTTAAATATTTTCTTTTAAAAGATACACCACAAACCCAAACTTTCTAGAACTGGTAGAATATTTTATACGAGACCCACACGAGGAAGACCAGGGACAAGTGTGGGTAGGATAGATAAGTCACTCCTGTGATATTCCAGGTGGATTTAATTTTACTTTCTCCGCCCCCCCCTTTCAGAAGATATAAAGATGTTAACGGTAATGCTGTAGTGAGAAGCGAGGTAGTTTCTGCACCCTCTGCCTCCACGCTTTTCTGTGCTTTCTAAACGGGCCCCGGAGGCCTGCATTCCATCGTCTCTGGGGGACCCAGGCTGTTCTTATATGTGGACCCGAACCAGGCGGCGTATCCGTCTCCCGCCTCCGCCGGCAGGTACTCGAAGTGCGCGCGGGAAGCTCTATTCCCGGTACCGGGAGGTTTTAGCCCGTGGTGAGGAAGCGACTGAGGCAGGACCCGCTTCCTCCGTCTAGTGCTGCGATAAAGGGACGGGAACCCGACGGCGCCGGAACCCGGAGCCCAAGGCCCGCACTGCGGAGCAGGATGGCTGCTGCACAGCACCCCAGGGACGGCCGGCGATGCAAAGGAAATCGAAGGCACTCCCGACGCGGGGGGAACGTTGCTTCGACGTACTTTCCGGCTCTCGACTCCGCCCCCGCAAGGGGCTTGGCTCGGAGCTTCAAGATGGAGTCACTAAATAGAGCGGGGCAAGAGATGAGCTTGGCGGCCCTAAAACAACACGACCCTTACATCACCAGCATCGCAGACCTCACGGGCCAGGTCGCTCTATACACTTTCTGCCCAAAGGCCAACCAGTGGGTGAGTGCGGCCCGGCCGGGAAGGGCACGCGGTTGGCCGTCGCTCTTAAAGGGACCGCGCGGGCTGCCGGAGCCGAGGGACGAGGGAGGCCAGGGTTGCGTGGGAGAACGCAGGACTAGAGGAGAAGGGGGCGCGCACGGAGGGCCATCGGGAGCTTTCGGTGCAAGGGGGAGGAACGAGAAAAGTAGCCCCTAAAAATGCCGGGGAGAAATAGTCTAGTTGGAGGAGAGGTTTATAGCGGGGTCGTGTTGCTTGGGGTCAGCTCTGGGGACGACCTCCTTTTTGCAGTTCCATTGGGGAATGACCCATGCGATCATATAGATACCTGAAAGCTTCTTTGTGAGGTTTTGAGGATTTTAGGTAAGTTGAATAACACCGTTGCCGAACACATTAGACGCAAAGGTCATCTAAATTTAAAGCTTGAAATCCAATTAGTTAGACTTCTTGGAAGGAGTGATAAGGGTGAGCCAGGCTTTAATAAAACTACACTGTTTGTGGAATTTTGGAAAAGATTTAAAAGTCTTTACGAAAAGGCTTCCGTACGATTTGAATTCCTGGAGATCTTTGGAAAACAGTCCTTTTAAATGTATTCTTGTTCCAGCTCCGAAGCTCGTGATGTCACCTCAACGCGTCTGTCAGATCAACTCCTTTTTTTTTTTTTTTATGGTAGGGAAATTCTAAAGGTTTCATTCTGTCAGAACTTGACTTTTATTGGCCTCTGCTTGAAGTTTCATTAATTGTTTAACATTTTCATTTTTCTTTTTTAAAATGAAATGTAATCCAAGTTTAGAGACTTTCATTCATTGTTGCACCTTTCTCCCTATCCACCTACTCCCCCCAACATTTTAATTTTCTTATGAAAAACTTATTAAACTTTACAACTAGAAAATAATGCCAAAAAAAGTTTTCGTTGGATTAAATTCATTCTTGTCCTAACGTTCACATTACTATTAAAACTCTTTAGCGTTTAAAACCCCCCACAAACTCTTTATCCAAACTCTGAGTAATTACTGTAATATTCACTCTGTAGATAAATACATATTTACCATTAACTTCATGCAAGTCATTTAGCATTTATGAACATTTAATTGAGAAAGGAGAGTTTTTGAAACCAACTTGTTTTTTTATCTTCACGCCCTGGAAGACAAGGAAGTATAAAAGAAGCCGCAAAAACAAATTTACAGATTTTTTTGTAAAAAACATGCAACTGTATTAGATACTGCCTTAGCTTAAGTCTTTCTGAAGTATTTTCTTAGTCCACATATAAAATTGTGATTAGGCACAAATACGGATTCTGGACCAATGATGAAAACATAAGACTTTTATTACTTCTGTTTTATGTAAACAATAAACTATTATAATTTGGATTTTAAAATAGCCTACTGTTGTGTGTTTATTTTTTATCATGGCACATAACACATAGCAAAAATTTTTATTTTATTATTTTGAATTGTCTGTGTAAGTCAGAATTGAGTTAATGCTCACTGAGATTCTTTTGTTTTGTAGTTTCAGTATTCAACAAAATTCTAAAAATAGCCTACTATATTTGACAGTTTTTAATGAATGACAAAATTACTGATAAAATAACCAAATTTGTGTTTGATGAAGCAAAGTAGTCTATAAATAAGAACTTTCTCCTACTAACTTTAATAAACTAAAAGTGAACACATATTGTGCATAGAACCCTGACTTTAAAATGAAGAAATCTGACTAAAATATTTTAGCTGAAAAGTCACAGATATAAGTGTGTTGCTAAATTAAGCACTGAATGTGATTATGTGCAGTGAAAGAAATCATATGAAACTGGTAATAGCAGTAGGTGGAGAAGTAGATGTTACCTGCTCAAAGTGGTTAATTTTAAAATAAGTGATGACGGTTAAGCATGAAACATTTCTTCTCTATTAAGACCATTTAGGTTTTAATGATTGGAAGAACACTAATTGATTCATTGTCTATTACAGGAGAAGACTGATATAGAAGGGACTTTATTTGTATATCGAAGGTAAGTGTTTAAATTCTATTTATTCTCAAAAATCTAATGATGCCCACCATCGTATTGTTTTTATTCAAGCTTTTATCCATCTCAAACTGCAAGATCCAAGCTAAACCATAGCTTTTCTCTAAGCCTTATAGAACCAGAACTTAACTTAGGGTCTAACAGAACATTCTGAATATAGAAAACATTTTCCAGTAAGGATTAAGTCTAAAACAGATGCCTCCATCCATCCCTCAATATTTAAAAAAAAGATACGTATTGCTGGGTACTGTTGTGTCGAAACTGACCAATAGATGACTCTCCAGTGAGTTTTCAGAGGCAATAAATCACACAGGAAGTGATTGCCCATCTTTCTCCCACAAAGCAGCTGGTGGATTCTAAATACATACCTTTGCTTTGACAGTGCAGTTCTTTACCACTAAGCCACCAGAGCTCCCTCTATAAAATAATGCCATTGAAATATCAGCACCTCTTTTCTTGTTAAGTGCCATCAAGTTGGTTAAGACTCATAGTGACCCTGTGAACAACAGATGGAAAGCAAGCATGATTTTCTTTCCTAAAGGACTGGCCTCTTGATAACATGCCCAAGCGTATGTGAGATAGATGAGTGTATGATCTAAGTCTAACCATTCTTGCTTTTAAAGAACATTCTGGCTGCATTCCCTCTAAGATTTGTTTGCTCTTTTGACTGTCCATAGTATATGTAGTATTCTTTGCTAATACCACAATTCAAAGGCATCAGTGATTCTTTGATCTTCCATATGAAGCAGTGGCATGTGTCAAGCATACCTTAGTCTTAAAAGGGACATCTTTGCTGTTTAACATTTTAAAGAGGCAGCAGTGAAGTATGTTTGATCTCTTGACTGCTCCTCTGGTGAAATCATGACAACGTCAATCTTTTCTGTTTGTTATGTTGCTTATTGATTGGTCCACTTGTGAGGATTTTTATTACATGTTCATGTAGAAATGAGGGCTGTAGGTTTTTTTTTAATCTCAGTAAGTGTGTCAAGTTCTCACATTCAGCAAGAAAGATTGAGTCATTTGCATGCTGCAGAGTCCTGATGCCACATTCTACTCCATATAATCTAGCTTCTGGGGTTATCTGCTCAGCTTACATACTGCATAGGCATAATGAAAACATACAACTTGATGCACACCTTACTTACCTACTTTCAACCAATGTCCTTATTTTGTTCAAATGACTGCTTGTTGGTCTGTGTACATGTTCTATTATCACCCCTAAATCCTTGACTGTATATAGTGTCTTTTTGTTTTTAAATGCTGATTTATTTACAGAGTTCCCACACATTGTTTTGCACACAGATCTTTCCCATTTCCTTCATACTACATAGTGTCTTTAGTTAGGTATATTAGTCCTTTAAGAGATCTTTGGAAAGCTTGAGTTACTCATAATTGCGTCATTTGTTTCCAACTACCTCGAGTGCTAACATCTTAAAATGTGATTGGCTTGCAGGTTGACACTTTCTTAGGCAATTTTTTTTATTTTATTTTTTTAAATAATTTTAATGAACATTTACAGAGAATTTGGATTTCCATTCATTCATTGCTGCACTTCTCTACCCGCCCAGCCCTCTCCCCCAACCCCCTAGTTTGCTCCTCTCTTTCAAAAGTAAAAGAAAGACTCCTTCCCTGGTACACAATCCCCCCGCACCCCTCCCACCGCCCCAAGTACATTCCACTATGCAACCTTAATTGTGGACTCTTGTTCTTAGGCAATTTTTATGACTGAAAGGTAAATGACAAGATAAACTAGTCCAGGGAGTTACTATAGCAGGTCATTCTCTTGGTTTCTCAAGTTTAGCAACTCATTAGCCATTAATATGAACATTTTTTCATATTTAATATGGATTATCTCTTAGGCCTTTCTCCCTTAGTGCTAATTAAAAAGTATTTGTCACATATTCTCCTGAATTTTCATGTGAAACTTTGAGATATATAACTGCACTGATCTTCTTTCTATAAATATGACACCTTGTTCCATCTTGGTCCTTATTTTTAAAACTTTTACACTTAATTTACTTCAGTACCCTTCATTATTTTGGGCTTAAATCTGTAGAAACTTTTCAACTTTAATTAGAACCTAGATAGCTAGAATATTGGTAATGTGCTTTTTAGACTTTATTATTAAAGATTAATATATAGAACATTTATTATTGAAAATGTGCTGCTTAGTGCAATGAGTGACTTGCCTTAACAATATTTGTGCATGCTTACATGGTTGGTGTTGATTCCATATATATAAAAGGAAACCAAAGAACCTTTCTTTGGAAAGCGTGAGAACATTTTATATACGTTGGAAAAAAGTATGCCTGGATTTAAGAATACAACTTTGCAGTCACCACCTTAGTATAGAAGAATCTGGAGTTGGAGTAAAAAAGCCTGAGGCTAAATTCAGGTTATAGTAATTTGTGTGTCTTTGGGCACAAGCATAAATTATAGATTGTTTAATATATTGTTTTTTAATCTGTGAAATAGGATTCAGGTAGCTCCTTCAACGTACTTTGGGCATATTGTCAGGAAAGGCCAGTCCTTGGGGAAAGACATCTTGCTAGGAAAAGTAGAAGGTCAAAGAAAGAGAAGACCCTCAACAAGATGAATTTACACAGTGGCTGGAACAAGGGGCTTGAGCACATTGTGAGATCGAGCAGGATTCAGATCTGTTATGCGCTGGGTCATTACGAGTCACACTTGGCTCCGCACCTAGGGGCTGTACTGAATCTCCCACAATGTGAGAAAACATACATTTTTTAATTGTAGGATTCAAAACCTTATTCTTCTTAATGCAATCTAAAAAAATTTATAATGATGGCAGTCATTATTATAGGCAGTCTTGTCCCATTTAAAAGAAATAGTATATTCATTTAGCAGGTATTAAAACTGCTGTATCTTTTTAGATTCCTAGCATCTGTCTGTGAAAATACACAAGTGCCCATATGCATTGAACTTACTAGTGATGGGAGATGGGCAGATAGCAAAATAAGTGGTTTAGAAAAAGATAACCGTGCAAAGTAGTGAGCTTTGAGAGTTAGTTGCCACATTAAGTATAGTTAGTAATAAACCTCATTGAGAAGATGACATTTGAACAAAGTCGTGCTGGAGACACCACTTGAATTGCAGATTCTTGGAGAATTCCAGAGACCTTCAGGTAGCAACATACTTGCAGGTTTGGGAAAATGGCAGAGAGCAAGGACAAGGGAAGAGGCACATGGAGATGATAGCAGAAGGGAGCACATCAGGTAGGACCTTGGTGGCCTTGCAAGGACTTTGGCCTTCATTCTGAGAAGAGTGAGTCTTGGAGGGTTTTGAGCAGAGATGGGGCATGATGTAACTTGTCTTTACTTCTTAAAGTACATATAATTTTGTGTCATTTACTAATAAAGTAATTGTATTTTAAATGGAAATTAGAGAAGTAATTACATTTCTGCAGATTAAGTAAATAAGAGACTGCAAATGACTTTTATATTTTTCATTGTTATTGAATCTAAGGTCAGCTTCACCTTACCACGGTTTTACCATTGTGAATCGACTGAATATGCACAATCTAGTTGAACCAGTCAATAAAGATTTAGAATTTCAGCTTCATGAACCGTTTCTTCTGTATAGAAATGCAAGCTGTGAGTATAATTGTTTTACTATATTTAACATATTTATATCTAAAATCAAATGACTTTTGTTTCTGTTGGCACTTTATTTTTGGATTTCCAAATCATAAGTCATATGTATACTGTTGATGATTATAAATTAGCCTGTTAATAGTCTTTTAAACTAGGATTCTGAATTTGAAAATGTTCTCTTCTGTATGTAAAAACATGTCATTTTAGTTAACTATACTGTTCCATTTGATAAGATGATGCTCCTGTTATTTCTTTACAAAAATAAATTTCACTTCTTTATTTGTTGTGACACTGAAATAATTGGATACTCATGCTCCTGAGAAGCAGAACTTAGTGTGGAAGACAGTGAATGGCCATAGATAGTAACTATCCCCTGGATAGTGGGATGATTTTTTTAATGTTTATTTTAGTTTCATTTAGTTGAGTGCCTGATGGCTACCAAAAATGTGCCAGGAGTACTTCAGCATTAATGATTCACTAACCAGTGTGGAATAGACAGGAAGAGTTGGATCTGCTGAGACTTGATGTCTGACAATTTTTCTGTTGGAAAATGATTATTAACCTTTTCTCCTGCTTCTCACTCCAGGATCTTTTCAGCATCTTACAGGTGCTAATAATGGTTGGAAATTGTCTGCAAAAGTAGAGTGACCCTTTCAAGAAAACCCAGTACTAAGAAGTGTCTTTAGTTTCTGCATTGTAGTGTAACTTTTGAAAGTCTATGGGTGTGAAAGTAGCAGATAGTCACTTTGTTTGACATTGATCATGGGACCATTAATACTGCTTGTATTAGAAGAGTGATTGTGCTGTAGCTCCCATCTAAGAAATTTCTGGAGAAACATTGCTTCTCATTTTAAAAGTTAGCTATTGTTTTTAAATTACACTTGACTGGGAGGTAACTGGTAATGAGTGAGGGTGGGAAGAATGTCTTCAGTATAAAATGATACTCTTAAATTTCCTGAAGGAGAAGAAACAAGATCTATTTTGAAGTTGGTTGTTTTTGTTGTTTTTTTTTTTTTTTAAAAAGAATCAGTACAGTGATGGAGGGGTAAAGAATGCAAGAACTATTTTGAAGTTGGAAGCCGTAAATTCTTCTCTCCACCTCACTTTTACGTATTTAAGTAAAATAAGATCTCTTGACTTAACAGGAAATTATTTGTATGGATAATTAACTTTTAAATTCTGTAGACATTTGGAACTATATCTCAATACCTATAAGGTCAGGATTTTTTTTTTAATAACAATAACTTTAGGTGACTTTTCTTTCATAAAGGAGAAATTCTGCTAAAAAATCCACTTTTTATTTTTTACATGAAATTGAATTTGTTTTATTTTTTAAATAAAACTTTATTTTAATGAATATTTACAGAGAAGTTAGATTTTTATTCATTGTTGCACATGAATTAGTTTTATTCTTGACTGTCGGTAAACGTGTCTGTGACTTCTAAGAAAAATTGGATTATTTAAGTCTTAGTAAAGACAATTATTAGAGGCATATGAGCCTAGTTAACGTTTAGCATAAGCCTGAAGTAAGCCATACTCTTATCTATTTCATAAGTTAAAAAAAAACAAAACACAAAAAAGCTGTTGTTAGTTTTAAATCTGTGAGACTGACAATTATCTATAGTATAACTTTAGGACAGCATGATAACTTTAACTCCATTGTGATGTTATAGGTTAATTTGTTGTAATGATAACAAATTCAATTTTTAGAATATTTAGGGGCAAACAAGTAAACAATGTGTTTTATTGTATAAAAATTTCCAGCAAACAGGTGAAACACAATTTTTCTTAATTGAACCAGTAAGTCCTTTTCCATGTTGTTCATGCCTCTGTTAATTGAAGCACTAAATCATTTCTTAAGGGCCATACAATTTCTGATATTGCTAATTGGAAATTTGAGAGCACACCAACTTGTTTTTAGAGGAGAGAAGGGTCTGAAAAGGTCAAGTACAACACTGTGGATATGTTAGAAACAAGAGTCGCTTGGGGAAATGGAGTATTTAAAGGAAGAGTTGTATTAGGGAGAAATGATAGGACAGCTTAGAATGAGTCAGACTGTGATGGCCTCTTGAGTTTATGTTTTGTCTACCTAGACTCAAAAATGGGAAATAGTCAGTTCAGCAAGCTATTGAGTTGTTTAGGGATTTGTTCTTTAAATAAAAAGTTAATTAGTGTCTGATTGCACATACAGGTAATTATACCTGATTTTGTGGCTGCTCTTTTTAAGTTCTCTTGTGGAAAATACCACCAAGATATCTGACCCATTTAATTCAAGTTACACCTTTAATTCGAGTGTCTGTCACTTAGATCAGTTTTTAAAGTTAATAGAAAATGAAACTGTAGCTTCTCATTTCTAAATTGTTCTATGCTTTATTTATATAAAATGTCCAATGTCTCAACCTCCTCCACCTAAAAAAAAAAATACTTACAATAACCAAGGGATTAGGTTTTTTTTGTGGGTTGGGTTTTTTTTTATTTGTTTTTTTTTTGGTGAGAAAAATTTATATTTAGAATTAGCCCGCTGAACTCAGTTTAGATAATCCCAATTTTGTTGGCAACATCTAAAGCATCATAATCAGGAGCAAGTCGAACATAGGCCTTCTTCTCTCCATCAGACCGAATCAAAGTGTTGACCTTAGCCACATCAGTGTCATAGAGCTTCTTTACAGCTTGTTTAATTTGGTTCTTATTGGCCTTGACATCCACAGTGAACACTAGTGTGTTGTTATCTTCTATCTTCTTCTTCATAGCTGACTCAGTGGTCAGGGGAAATTTGATGATGGCATAGTGGTCAAGCTTGTTTCTCCTTGGAGCCCTCTTCCGGGGGTATTTGGGCTGCCATTGGAGTCTCAGTGCCTTAGGCCGCCGGAACGTGGGTGACGTGAGGATCTTCTTTTTTTTTTTGGCTGTGGACGCCCTTCAGGACTGCCTTCTTGGCCTTCAATCCCTTTGCTTTGGCTTCAGTTTTGGGAGGGGCAGGGGCTTCCTTCTTGGCTTTCGGCGCCATCTTCGTAGAAAGGCGGGATTAGGTTTGATGACTGTTTTGATCTTTTGGAAGCAGCATGTGCAGTGAGGAGACTGTAAGTTCTGTAGTTGTTGAGTAACAGTAATACTCCCAGAACTGTATTTGTAAACTACAGAGCAGAATAAGACTCAGATGTTAATATATTTGCCCAGGTGCCACAAAGATAATGAGTGATGGGCAAAACTCAAATCTGTTTAGCTTTAGAGCCAATGTTCCTTATATATTCTAAGCATTGCTGTTCAGTAGCATTCTGTATTGATTGAAATACTCTTTATCAACACTGTCTGATATGATAACATCCAGCCATATTGGTTATTGAGCAAGCGGAATGTGGCTGGTGTGGATTAAAACAGAACAAAACTCATTGCCATCGAGTCGGAATTGACTCATTGCTGGCCCTCTGTTGGGTTTTGGAGGCTCTAAATTGCGTGGGAGGAGATTGCTCATGTTCGTCCTTCAGAGCCACTGGTAGATTCTAACCACAAGAGAGACAAGGCCTTTGGGTTAGCAGTACCGCTCTCTGGGGACATTGCCTCCTGGTATGTGTAGTGGGTGAGTTAGGGAATGAATGTTCAATTTAACTGTAAGTCAGTTGAAGTTTTAAGAGTCCTACATAATCCTGATCAGAAACTGCTGCAATCTCAAAGGCACATGGTTCAAATCCACCAGCTTCTCAAGAGAAGAATGTGTAGTCTTCTATGCACTTTGATTAACTGCCTCTTGAAACCCACTGGAGGATCAGCTATAAGTCAATTCCAACTTGGTGACATACACCAACATAACCTGGCAATAGGCTACTCTGTTTCTTGAACCATAGAGGTCTAAGCATGTGCCCATGCACTTACTCATCCTTTGCTCTGGCATGCCTGAAATGGATAGCTATGTGGGAAGCTTTGAATTGAATTTGTATGCCTCCCATTTTGTTAGTTTTTGAAATTTATAAATGATTTTTAGATAGACGGTATCTCTGAGAATGAGTTTACCATGGAAACACTAGACAGGGAATTAAGTTTGTGGACAACTATTTTAGGCTTTGCCATTTTACTAACTCTGAGTAAGTCATTTAAACTACTGATCTGACCTACTTATAAATGGCATCATGTAGATAAAGTTATTTTTTTGGTCAGGCACTCACAAATACAAAATACTGCAGCCCATGATTCCATATTAGACTCAGTTCAGATGGCTTTCTTCCCATTCCTGTGATTCTTCTTCCCAAGAAATATCAGTGTAATTTTCATATTATCTGTGACTTGCTTTTGAAAAAAGTGAAGTTGCAGTGTAAACATATGCATTACCATCAGTCTGCTGATTTTACTATTTTTTTCTACTATTTTACTACCTGAGTTATAAAATTATTCTTTGGAGGGTAATCTTCTAGGAGTCCCAGGTCATAGAGACATCAAAGAACTTCTATCCAATGAAAAATCTTCTCACTGTTAACATTTATTCATATAAATTAATAACAAATCTGGGTCAAAAAGGAATAGGGGACATTTCCGTGAGCCACCAGCAGTTACTTCCAACTGTAAGTTGGAAGCTTATGAGCTGACACTGCCAGCTGCTAGGAGGTGTTTAGAAATGGGAAGCTATCTTTAAAGTAAGGACTATGTTATGATGCATAGAACTCTGATGGTATAATCCACAGGGAGTTGTCCCACTAACCCCGAGGTGGCACTTACCTGGTTGTTTGAAGCCACTGGTGACTCAGTGGGAGAAAGATGGGCAGTCACCTCCGTGCAGTGTAGACGCAAAAACCCATTGGAGGCTCATCTGTGAGATGATTCCAACCCAATGGCAATGAATTATATTGAGAGACATTACGATGCACCTTTGCGGTCAAGAGTTAAGGTCACAAGCCCTCAAGGAGCAGAGACACCAGCTGGATCACCTGATGAACTGTGTATTGCAAAGATAGCTAGATGATGCTGACAAACCTGGGAAGATGACAACAAGCTTATCCACCATCTTAGTC